CCAGCTACGCCCGCCCCCGGCGGGGCCGCCTGTTGCTGCGGCCAACAGCGGCAGCAGCACCAGCCTGAGTGGGGCAAGCGGCAGCAAGTGGGGTGTGGAGGGCGAGGAGGAGCTGCCAGAGGAACAGCCCATCTCAGCTGCCTGCACCACCGTGGAGATGCATGAGCCACCGCTGCTCGTAGACACGCGGCGCTTGAGCAGGGCCAGTAAGTCGAGCAGCTGCAGAGCCAGGTCAGACGACCTGGCCGTGTAGTGCGGTCGCCTCTGCTCAGAGGAGCAGGCGATGGAAGGCAGAGCGGGCAGGGGGGCTGCCCGGGGAGGCCAGGCCTGGCGTGGGTGGGAAGGCCTGGGTTTCAAACTTTGACGCTTGCTGTTTTTGCACTCTGTGAGTTGTAGTGGGGAAAAATATCAACGTTTTCTAATAGGTCAGGGGTGGCCGAAGCGCAGCCCATGGGCCAGGGGACCAATCCCGCTTTCCTTCATGTCCATGGCAGATCTCCCAAGGGCAGCTGTAGGGGAGACCTGCACAGGTAACAGGTGGTGATGGTAGCTGGTCAAGTGCCCTGAGGCTGACTTTCATCTGAGAAAAATGTTAATATCCCTAGTGCCCATGTGCCTGGCTGTCATCTCCTTCTTTGCCCTTGCCTTCTTTTCCATCCTTTTTCACATGAGTTCTACATGAGCGGATGTGATGACTTATTTTCTTCCTCTTAAATCTTACGTAGCCCTATGGCAAACATCAGGGTGGCATATTGCCTATTGGCACCTGCCATCCCTATGGACCAACTTGCCATATTAAAGGTGACTCAGTCTCTTCCATATAACAGGACTTAATGAAGCCTTTGTGCTCATGGCAAATCGCCAATGTGGTCCTTGGCCGGGCAAAGTTTAGGTAACCCCTGTAATAGATTTTTGAGGTTCATCTTTCTATATTTTTTTTTTCCTCTTGACCTGTTAGGAAGTGTTTGGTTTGACCTTCTATCCAGTGTTTGCCGACCATGATCACACCATGTTTTTAAGCCCACAAATATGTTTGAGCATGTTTGATTACAATTTTAGATGACTTCTGAAATTGCTTAGAGGAGGACAGGAATTTAAATCACGCCTCAGAAATTATTACACAGAACAATTTCTCTTCAGAAAGCAAGGATTATGATTTCAATACATTATGGCCCCATACGTTGCCCGTGGACAAACAGTAGGATGAAGTACAGCTCTGCATTTTAGACTATTAGATATCAGCTTAAGTTTGTTGGAAAAATGCTTTTTAGAAGTAAACTTGAGTGCATATTTTTAAGTATTTGAACATTTTGAGAATAATTTTGATCTGTACGTTTAAAGTTACTTGACTGTGTACTTAATCATTTTAGTTTGATCTTTGATCTTACAAGAAAATGTAAGGGGAAAGGAATTTACTAATGGTAAAATTCCCAAAGCAACTTTATTTCCTGTTGTGTTCTACCTTTAACAACAATCTGTAGTGTCTTACAGGTCAGTGAAAAGAGATTTAGACAATATTGTATTGCAGAAAAGGTGGCTAAAACATCTGGGCAACATGTAGTGGCTGAAGGGTCTATTCTGATCCCACTGAAGTCACTTGCAGAATTCCCATTCAATTTAACAAGGAGCAAGATTTGGGGATGGATCTTGCAGGCCTTATTCAAGCAAAACTAACATTCACATGGCATTTTGGGAGCCAGAAGGAATGTAGATTTGGGGCCTTAGATAAAGACATTAAAATCCTGCTTTTGAAAATTGTGTTTCCCTTAAAAATGGGTGGAGGAAAGTACTGGCTATTTTTTTCTAGGGTACAGCTTTCCTTACAACTGGCTCTGTCCTTCATTCCTTTGTAACAAGTACTCTCACAGACGTTAGTCAGAATTTTGAATGCCTGATAAGGCTCGGGAGGGTTTGGGTACAAAAGGAATGCAGGATTAGGCCCAACTTCTGTTCTGAGCAAAACCCAAAAGAACTGAAGCTCGGAGTCAGTTGTATTGCTGCTATAAATCGGAAGTACTGTAATTGCAGAAGAGAAGTCAAACATGCTGGGATACTTTTGCATCTTCAAAGTATTTGGCCTGGCAGTGCAGTCCTTACTCAGGCAAAGCAGGGTCACCCTGTAGCAAATAGTTACAATTGCCAGTTATCTCTGCTGTTAAATGTTTTCCTGAGTGTGTTTATTTTATGCAACAGTTAAAATATATTCCCACCACTCAAGATAAAACATTTATTTTTACTGCTTTCTGAGTAGAGTTTCTCATGATCAGAGGCACTGTTCTGCAACCCTTGGGCATGTTGTCTCATGACTTCCTTGACCTGCTTTTGGTGACCCAAGTGAGGAGAATTCTTTTTGCTGCCACTGATCTTGGGGGCAGACATTGCATTAAATTCAATGTACAGTAGTACAATAAAGATATTTACTATTAGGTGTTCGGCTTCAGGCATGCTTTCGTGAATTTTCTATGTTATAAGCCATAAAACCCCTTTCTGCTAGAAAGCTAAAAGCTAAAAGCTAAATTCTGCTTTCAGTTGTACCCATGCAACTGTGCTGAACTTAGACTAAAGTTGATGAAGTTGCCTAGATGTAAACAAAGGCAGTTTAACACTCAAAATTTTTAGATTTACTAGCATCGATAGTAGCAGTTTTGTAAGTTTTGCTAAATGCCAAGTAATTATATTGCTGTAATAATGCAATATGCATCTCTGTATTTTAGTACATCAAAATTCATGGGCTATATTTTCCTTTCTTTTATGCTTCTGAAGAATGAAGTCAAAGTCTCTCTGGAGTGTATTTATATAAACCAGAACACCTGGAATATGTGCTTTTTTATATCAATGCCTGAGAGCAAAACTGAGTACTTCTTTGATGAGTGTTGCAGTCCTTACTTTAGTACAACCCTCACAGAGTGTGTCCTGCAGGATTGCATCCATATTGTATATAAAAAATAATAACAGAAATAGGTTTAACTTAGGATCAACTGATACCTAGTCTGCCCTTTTCAAGTTAGTGTGTGTGGTTAGACCTGCAGAGAGTTCAGGTGCTTTTGTGGAATATATGGTATTTTCAGGCAGAGTAACTGCTGGAAAGCTGTAGAAGATAATTTTTCCTGTTAGGTGAGGCTCAGGGGGAGAAATGTAACTCTATTGCAACCCCTAAGAGAAATCTGACAGCCTCCGCATCCAAGCAGTGCTGGTCTGAGAAAGCAAAGCTACAACTCACAGGTGGTGTTTTTAAGGTCAGCTTAAGTTTCATCACATAACTGTACAGTGTCAAGCTTCTTGGTTACCTACAGTTTCATCTGGAGTTCAGAAATTGTTTCTTCATTTAAGCCCAGGTAACTGTTTTGGCAGAACTCTCCCTCAGTGCTTACAATTGCTTTTAGTTGCTGCATGACGTCTGGAATCAGATTTGTTGAAAAAAAAATCTTACTGGTGTGGCTGATTTTGAGTACTTTAATTAATCTTTACTCATGAATGATCACTGAATTCAACATGCTATGAGTAAAGCATAACTATGCAGACTTCCATAGTTCTAGAAAATATGTACAAACACCAACGAACTTGCAGAACAGAGCCTGTTGGCAAAAATAATTTCCAAGCCGTTTACTCTTCCACATAAATTAAGTCCAAAGGGAGAACTGGTAGCAAATGATACTTTGATTTAGCCTGGTCATATGGCTGTTCAAGCCACAATCCTGAAAGATCTTATATACACACCTAACATGAAACCAGTAGGTAAGTGATTGCAAAAGTGAAAGTCAGAACAGCATCATGCCTGATACTAAGCAAACTGAAAAAAACCCACTCACTTTTGCTCTTTGACTAGAATCATTGTGGGAAAACTGTTCTCTCTCTTACTTGAAGTTAAAAAAAAATGCAAAGGTAAGCTATGGAAAAGAAAAGGAGAAAAACTGAAAAAAAAGATGCTCCTTGAACAAGTTACCAGGTGTATGATGTGCTACTCTTTTTGCACTAAGTCAGCTCACTGGTACTAGCTGACCCTGCTTGGAGCATAGGGGTTGGGCTAGATGACTTCCAGAGGTCCTTTCCAACTGCAATGATTATATGAAACATATTTTCCAAATCATTGATTTCATTAGCACATTTTTCATAATGGTTTTACAAAGATATAATAAAAATGGACCTGCCTTGGACATAAATATATAGTTTCTTGGCCATGGGCACAGTCGATCTGTTTTCTGTCACTGGGCTTTTTTAATTAGTGCAGCTGTCAGTTAATACAAAAGAAAATGAAGTACAGACAATTTAAAAGCCCTCATTTCTTCCCTTTGTGTTTTGATTAAATGAAGACAGCCTGCTAGAACCTTCCCTTTATTAAAATGGAATATTTTATCTATGAAAATCAATCTCTTGGTTTTTTCATAGATAAAAAAGTGCTCCTTGAATTTGTTGGTCCGTGCTGGCATTGAAAAATCATAGCTTCTTGAAAATAGGGAGCATGCACTGAAAAAGCAGATGAACTATGTTCTTTTCTGGTGTAATTTGGAAGCCAGTTGTGTGCAAAGTGGTACCAGGGATTGATTTGGCTCAGTATATTTGTTGTTTGTAAAGGCACAGAGAGCTAATTAAATGTCTGACACTTTGCAGCTCTTGAGATTATTTTCTGGTATGAATACGTAAGTGTAGGATCAGTAAAATAATTAAGGCACACTTTAAAAATCAGATCAGTGCTTAGGTCCTTTTTTGGTTAGTCATGGGACCACCTCCTCAGCTGATACAAACTGTTGTATTCCACTGACTTCACGTGGGTGACAACAGTCTGCAGAAGCAGAGCATTGAGCCCCCAGGTCTTTTTGTTTAATACAGACACTAACACCGTGGATTTGAACAGGCTGGGTTTGGGGTTTTTTTAATTCCAAATGTTTTTGTTTCATTTACTTTGATTTTTCTTGTGAAAAGTGTGCTCTTGTAATTTTGATTTTCCAAAGTTTACATTCAGTTTTTGATTTCAGATTGCACATTTGGATGAAATAAACTGTTTTCTAAGTTTACATTTGTATAAGAAATAAAAGAATGACTCTGCCAATATGTTAGACCTAAGAGAGAAATGTCTTACTATAACACGGGAACTCTTCAGACATAAGGCAGTACCATTGAAGACAATTTAACCTGATCACTGAGCTATAATATCAGTTTTCTCTGTATATTTAAAATATGGGGGCTGGATATATAGGGAGCACACTGTGGAAAAGATACTTTTCATCATGAATTCAATTATTACCAAATAAATTA